TGAAGCGATCGGGCGTTGGCTTGCCCGACCCCCGAAAGCTGCGGCGCGTTAATGGCTGCAACTTCTAAAAAACAACGGGGAGGTACTGGTGGTTTAAGATCTATCTTGGTGAAGTACTTGCATCCCTGCACCCTATCCAATAGGTCGTCGATGCGAGTTAGAGGCTTTGCGTTCTTAATGGTGATGGCGTTGAGGCAGCACTTACATCCCTGCATCCTATCCAATAGGTTGTCGATGCGATGTAGAGGCTCTGCATTCGTAATCGTGATGGCATTGAGGCCTCTATAATCAATGCACATCCTTTAAATATCCCCGCTACAGACCTGCCCAAGCGCTGCAACCTGTCCCCTAGTTGCAGTCTCTCAATGCAGTCGTGAGCCAATGTCTACGAAGGCACCACACTTGCGGCCACGTACACCGACTTCCACAACGAAATGTTCCCCTTTAGGACCTCTAGAAAGTGCCACCCAATACTCACGAGGGTCCTTGCCGAACACTCGGTTTCCAAGTTTTCTAAGGCTTCAGAAACATCTAATGAACAGAGAATCGTTTGGTCTAGATGCGTCTGTGCTGTGATTAGTGAGTCGATAGCGTCGGCCAACTCCTGAAGTGGTGAGGACACCATCCACTTCAGCATGAGTAGCAGCAGCTACAACTTCTACTGGCCAGATGTGTTTCCCTGAGTTGTGCTCGTAGAAGTGTTACAGTGGGCAGAAGATCCTCGAAAACCACCATTGGGAGGGATCTTGTGAGGAACCTTTGCGTTCTTACATCTAAACTGCTGATGGAAATACTCGCCACAGTTGATGCAAGCTCCTCGCGAATATTGGTCCCTCCACACATCCTGATCCAGGCCAGTCCTCACCCAAGTCGGAGTCTTGTTGGAGTTTTGAGCCTGCCCCAGACTCTTTTGCTGGCCGCCCTTGCCACGACCAGCAGCCTTTCCTGTGGTTGCTGCAGTGAGGTTGCCACCCTCTACACTCTCCTCGCTGCCTAACTTTGTATCCTCCAAAAGATCGAAAAGATCATCGATCTCGGTTTGATTGCCATAGGAATCAACCATCATCAATCGAGTCTTCTTCTTCCTACCGTTCGTTGCAGGTTGCCGTGCCCGTCCTAGTTTAGCCTGCAAATCGAAGGCCTTCTTTTTAGCAGCTCAAGAATATGGTCAGCAAGACCTGTGGATCATAGCGGACACCTGGGATGACAATGAGCTTTTCTACAGTGCTGGTAAGTTCTCGTGCGGACTTGTACGTCCTAGCATCAAGCCGGGCCAACGCATCAGTGGCCTGCTGGGCATGTTGAGAGGTTCTGCCATCGTTATTCTACAACTCCATAAAGCTCTTTAAGGTTTGGGTCTTCGCCCAATCATTCATACGCCTGCCGAATCCCTTTGATGCCACTAGCCCATCTAGCCATCTTGCTGCCAAACCCTCCAAATATGAGGGGGCAGTGATAGTCTCTTCCTCGTGCCAAGTGCCGCGTCCTTCTTGTCTCCAGAGGTCTGAGGTGGTTTCAGTGCAGTCCTGGGGTACCAATGCTGCGGTCATCCCATTTGTGGGATCGGCTGCTGCCACGTAGCTGCAGCAGCTGGACCTGAGGATGAAGAAGCAGCAGTCTGGAGGAACGAAGGGTCCTGTCATCGCCGGATTCAATGGCGGTGATGGATATGCTGCTGGAGGCCAGAGACTGGGCCTGCCTGTTGTGGAAGGGACTGCTCTTCCCTTCCCCTGCACGTCACTCAGAATCTGGTCAAGGCTGGAGTGGATGTCATCCAGTCTGCTGTCCATGTACGTGTGCATGCTCAGCATGCTGGCCTTGATGACCTCTCCCGCATCATCAAAGGACTGAGTCATCTAACCCTTCTAATGCAGCCATATGATCCTCTTTGCTCTCCATTCTGGTCTTTCTATTTCTAATCGTTGCTTCATTTTCGGTAGCCTCCCTGAGTTGCTTCTCTAGCTGTAAGCGGACTAACTCTAATTGCGAAGCTCTATTGCTTCTCTAGTGGGTGGGGGTGGCTGGCCGTACTGCGAGTCCACCATTTGACTAAGGGAGGGTCCTGCACTTGTCCCACTGGATGAGACAAAAGACAGCATGAAAGTTCCTGATGTCTGCTGACCTTGAGAGGTCGCTGCGGAAGTAGCCATGGCTTCAGCACTAGCTGCTGCTGCCGCCAACGCTCGTTCCGCAGCTGTTGCTTCCTCCCTAGCTGTCTGCAATTCCGGGCCCTTGGTTCGGCCCGGAACCTTCTCTCGTCCCCTGGTAGCATAACCTGGAACACTACTGGAATCCTCTGTGTGTCCAGTCGTGTCCTCCTATCATCAGCTTTTGCTTCCTCACTCTCTTGTCCGCTCATCAGCCAAGTCGATCACTGTCTGCACTAGCGCCCTCGCTGGGGCCTACCACATCATGTGTCTGACTGATTTGTAAAATAAATAAAAATAACTTCTTATTCGGCAAGTCAACCAGGTACCGATCAAGCGGTGTCAAGAACGTAAACACAGACTGCGCAAATGATCTACTCCTACTTGGATCAGTTCTCGAACAGCACCATCATACAGCAGAACTGGCAATGGTACAGTACAGTTCTAGTCTAGTGCTGTCTGTCAGGTGTTAGCGGTTGGTCACACCTGAACTAATCAAAATAAAAATAACTCACTTGCGCTGATGTATGCAGAAATGGAAATAATAATGCTCGTTTTTTAGTACCAATTGGAACCTTCCCTGCCGTAATTCAACGTTCCTGATTGCATCACCAAGCAGTGGTGTCTACGGTGTGCACGACGGCCTACCCCTGTGCCCAGGAATCTGCCCTTTATTTATCCTCGCGTGCAACGAGCCTTACTCCGACGACCTGGCTGATCAATGGGCAATTTAAGGACAGCCTCCGAACTCCTCAGGAATTATTTAACATCAACGATCACAGCCAGGTGTCATATCCCCACCAGAGGTTCTTTATAGACGGTCTGGTGCACATCTTGCATAGGACTGGCCAGTCCACGTTCGCTCTACAGCGCAGCAAGAGCTCAGATGACAAAACAGCAAAGCATGCATGCTTTACTCTCATGGGTTGGCATATTGACCGTGACCCGTGCTTCAACCAGGGCCCTTCAGAGGTACCGCCCTCTCCTGCCAGATGCACCACCAGGAAGTATGTGGACTTCCAAGGTAGAGTGCTCATGACTCCTGAACCAGAAGAGGACACTCGAGTTGAACTCACTTCCTCACGGTAAGAAGAGATTGAGATGGGAAGAGAAGGTAAGGGAACAACTTACCTGAAGATAGCTGCCCCCAACAACAGATTTCTTACCAATTGAGCTGATGTCCATTTTGATGACTGGTCATAGCCTCAGTACCACACACAATGCAATGGAGTGCCACCTCAGCCAAAATGCAACGTCAGCATGCTCTCACCATCCCACATACATCTGCTGCCGCTACAGCTTCCACACTGTCGCCACAGCCTTCCAGCTACGCTCTCCTCTACGCGGGAGTCCAGCGCCAATGTATCCTCACTGCGGAGAAGCTTTGTCAGCGCACCAAGTAACGAAGTCGTCAGCGCCGGTAACGGTGATATCGAACCGGCTCTGATATCAAATTGCAAGGAATATAAGCGAGAGGGATAGACAGAAATCCAAATTCCAGAATCACGAAGTAGTCCAGGTACCAGGCAGAGAGCATAGTGCACCAAGATACCATCCAAAGAAGAGCAATACAATGAACACAAATGTCAATGCCAACACTTTGGGCACACCAACACTCTGCTCCTAATGTTGGGCGCCCAGCGCCCTGCCTACACTACTCAGCCTACCTAGCCTATCTACGTTCATGCAACCGGAGCACATCAAAGTCGAAGACCAATGTATGTGATGAAATCACCAATGCAGACCGCCAGCATACACCAGGAACGTTTCTCTCTCCTCCCCTCATCACACCGTCTCCATCTGCATGCACCTCCTGCCTGAAGACCATTGTCACCATCATCGCGCCTGCCCCCCAGCAGCTTGGCTATGGCTGCCGTGGGCCCGTTGCCTCAGCAGCGCCCCTCGCACCTCAGCTCGTGTGTGCGTGTCTGGCCCACAGCATAGCGCAGCAGCTCATGTGCTAGTGCAGCAGCGTGGCCGCAATGCCCTGCCAGGCCAGAATGCCCAGCCCCTGGGCACGCACTTTTCTATATGGAAAGTGTGCCCTGCCGCTGGCTACTCTGGGCCAGTCATGTAGGGGCCCAGTAGCTTCAGGTTGGTCTGAAGTGTCTGCACCCAGGTCCAGTTTCAGATACTGGCCTAGGCCTCGTGCAGTTAGGCACATGCAGGTAGCCCTCCAGGCTCCAAGTGTTTCCCGCGTTCTAATTGGCTCGCGGAGGATGTGTGAACAATATTGCATTCTCGTTGGCCCGTGGCCACTGCGTGATGTCTCAGCCTCCCACTGCATGCGCCCCAGGGTGCAGCAACCTGACCCCTGGGATCAACTGTACAGCGCAGCTGTTGCTCTGTAACTAACTGGCGTGCTGCAACTGTCTGATGCCCCACATACGAAAAATGTTGGAAATAGGCCTCTTGTGGATGTACAGGCCCGCCTTCACTTAGGGCGGGCACAAGTTTTGTTGGGGCCTCAGCCCAGTACATTTGCATGCCCGAGAAGGGCCTTACGAGGGCTTTGTCCTTGCATAACAACTTCAAATAGAGCAGGCTTCCTGGTAATTAAGGTGGTGCAAATGGTACGGTGTGTGAGATTGTCTATTGACTTAGTGGCTGGGTGAATGCTGAAGTTGTTTTGTTGTCCTGCATTCCGAACAGAAGGCATTCCTACACGTTCGTGTGGGGTGATGTCGTCGTGGTTGGGCTTCTGCCGTACAGTGTTCCGTGCCCAGCCTTAACTCTTCACCTCTGGCTCTTGTGGGCTGACGGTGAGTGCATTTTGTTTGTCAAACTTAACGTGTTACAGAACTCGATAATAGAAGGGAATTTTTTTTTTTTTTTTTTTTTAAATGGGAGAATGGTGACACTTGTGCAACACTGCATCGGTGTACAGCTTCGGAGAATGAAGAAGTGTTGGTAGGTCTATCAATGTCAATTTAGGGGCTAACATTATGTTTTCAAAATTCGTATTTCTCTGGCATTTCATTGATTTGGATGACCTCTTTGTGCGCAGCATTGAGAACCTCTGTCGGGACATTTACTTGAGACAGCAAATGGATGAGCAGGGGTTTATCCCCGTCTCTGTAATTGCAGCTTTTAACAGGGTAAGATCTACAGTCCTTCCGGTGCTGTACCTTACAGACTCGTTTTTGTTCTTGTGAGGGTCTTCGTGTTTTTGGCCTGGAGGTGTTTTCTATGCTTTTTTGGATGTCACTGTCTACAGGTGTTCGGAGTTAGTATGATTTGTGGAACTGCATTCAAGTTAAAAAAAAAATCAATGGGTCGAATAGAACACATATGCGTTGTATTGGAATATCTGGGCTGTTCGAATAGAAAACAACCTATGCATTGTATGCATTGTGTTTGAGGAAAGACGGTAATTTTAGATTGCATGCACACATGGAGGATGTGCTCTGTTTATTATCATGTAATGTATTAGTCGGACCGTAAGGCATATCAGAGCACTTCTCAAAGGGGTTATAGAATGGCATATCAGAGGATTTTGGGTACCTTGAGCTTACTCACAGTATGAATTCAGCCAGAGTTGAGGTCACATACATCCAGGAATGCTCGATTATGACTATGTCCTCTGTTCCGATTTTCATGAATTTTAGTCATATGGATCCCATACTTGTTGATTGAGATGAAGGATGCACTGAAAGGTGTGGGGCTACATGAAATAAGTAAGAGAGGAACGTGGAGTTGAAATCCTGGTGGCATGTGACCGACCCAGGCGGCATGCGACGGACCCCGCCTGCCCTGTTGGCCAAGCAGGAAGCCTGGCCAGGGAAGTTTCCGGCATTTTGCTTTGCTGCACAGTCGCTTGAGTGTGGGATTTAAGAAATGTAATGTGAATTAAAAATAATGGGCAAAAGAACAGATCTGAACTGCAACAGGAAGAAGTTTTGGTTGAGGGTGGTAGCTTGGAGTAACAGGCCATTTTCGTATTTTTGGGATGACCTTGTTGTGCCCCTTCAACCTTTTAGTTCACTGCACAGCTGATTGCACCGGTCTGCAGTAAGTATGATGAAAAGTCTTCAGGAACAGAACTAAGCCCTCAAAACCTTTTGATGTTGCTTTCAGAGAGGAGGGGGGTGGAAGATGGAAGGAGAGGGGAGGGGAGTGTTAAGTGTGGTCACAAGGAGCCTTGCAAACAACCAGCCAGGGGAGTTTAATGCTGATGAGTACACTAGGGAAGGAGGGTTGGGGGTGCCTGAGAGTTGAGGTGTGGAGGAAGGGGTAGTCGTCATTGGGATCTTTAGGGGGGATGGGTTCTCCTACCCTCAGCAGGGCATATAATACATCTCTTTTGCCCCGTGATTTCTTCTGCTTCTGAAGAGGCATGCTCCTTACGCCGCGGTCTAATGTGCTGTGCAGGTAAAAATGCTCACAGTGGACGTGTCAGTTATTTTGGAGGCCTTGGCCGATTCATCAGTTGTGGAAGTGCAGGTTAGTAACTCCATGCCAAAGAAAGCCAGGCCTGTTTGCGGCACACCATGTCCTTCATTCATCACACTAACTTTAGTCAGGTTATAGCTTGAGTGGGCTATTCCCACTAGACAACAAGAGTATGGGGAATCTTGCGCCTGGAAGAGAAATGGAAGAATATTAAGACAAAATGTTTGTGTGCGTTTCTTATTCTCATGCCCTCTGGCCTCCACCCTTTCTGCTATCCTTTGCATGTGTTTCTTGGATGAGGTCTTGGTTCATCACTACATGATGTGCACTGGTTGCGAGCTGGGTCAGGGGTGCATTTTTGGCTGTGACAGACCTCCGTTTCGTTGAGGTCTGTCCTTGCTGCTAGGCAAGGTTTGAACTGACAGTCCGTGGTGTCTTGTATGTGGTGTGGGTGGGTGATAGTTCCCTTTGGTTCTTAGTCAAGGCAGCATTGCTAGGCTTTTCCTCAGATTGCTGAGGGTTCAGCTGCCTGATGGGTTGGTGAACGTCAGATGAAACAGTTATCTTTTCTTTTCTCGCTGGTGGGTGAATGTATGTGTGCTGCCTGCAAGATCGATTTCATGGCTCTGTGTTTTTTCTGCGTACGTCCAGGAACTGTGTTTCTTCATTCATGGTGTATGTGTTAATGTGCATTGTTATCTAGAATCTTTTTTTCGTTCATGGTGAATGTGTGAATGTGCATTATAGCCTATGTTAATTTTCATTGTTCTTAATTTTCATTGTTCTTAGTTCATGCGTATCTATGAATGTGCATCATTAGATAGCCCATCTGATCATTCAGGGCCAAAGTGTAGACTATTGGTTATTCTCACTGCTCTGTTGTGTTCAAAAGGAAATGCTAGCTTCTGTTCGTACTGAAAGCGGATGCATCTCAGTCACCCACTGCTCAGTTGTGGGCGGCATGCCATCTTGGCCACCCACAAGCCATCAAACGTGCATTCCTGGAGAGTGAGTGGATTGGCAATCTGGGGTGGCCCTGTTCTGATGTTCAACAGCCGAAAATGGCTGCCTGGAACCCTGCGAAGGCTTGAAAGCATTCAGGAAAATCACGAATACGACACACAGATCACTACACACAGGCAAAAGAAACAGCTGTGGGGTGGCCCTGTTTTGTGATTTTACTCTTTGAATGAACAGCTGTTTCTTTTCAGCTGTGTACGTGATCTGCAGGTTGTATTCGTCATTTTCCTAAATGCATTCTGTGCTGGCTAGAGACTATTAACTTACGGAACTGTACCTACGGAGCAAAGCAGGTGCTCGGGGTGAAATCACAGATTCTATCAGAACTGCCGGGGTGTTGTGGGGCTTACTGTGCATTCGACAAAGGCCCAATGTCGTGGGTCCCCTCTACGCGCTTCTGAACACATTTGTTTCCTCCCTCCTTTGCACCGATGCCTCGCTCTGTTTGTACCTTCCTCTGACTTCCTCTGCTAATTTCATCAGCCCATGAGGGCTACTTTAAATACTTCTTCTTTAAAAGAACTGTGGTGAGATGCTTCACTCTGTTTGTACCTTCCTCTGACTGCCTCACTCTGTTTGTACCTTCCTCTGACTTCCTCTGGCATGTACTTCAAGCAAGACTGGCACACAGTTTACACACCAGATTGTTAGCCTTTCCAATTTTATAGTACACAAGAAGATTGTTGAGGGAGAAGGGTGGGTGGGGGGGTGCAAATAAGGTGATTGCTCTGGTGGAGGGGGGCACACAAGGAAATTGTGAAGGGGGAGTTACATGGTGCTCTCGTTTGGAAAGGGACCAGAAATGAGTGTGTAGCGTGGATCACAAAACGTTGAGGGTGCGGAAGCGAACCATTTGACTAGAAATCACAGTGTTGAGGGTGGAGGTGCAAATTTGGAAATAGTTGCCATCGTGCCATGCTTCGCATGCACAATGGGGTACATGATGCTTTCTGGATGAAGGGGAAGGGCAGTGTCGAGTGGAGTTAGGAGAAGGTGCGGAACGCGATCATGCAAACCTTTTAACTTGGAGGTGTGCCTTCTCAGACCCTCCAGTTCCCTGTGGTTGCTGGAGACTGTCAACAGGCCAGGAGTGGACCAAACCATGGGCTCTGTGTGCTGTAGCATGCCACTTTGTTGTCGTGCGATGGGCGAACCGAGCTGGACAAATTTATAGCATGAAATTCTGTTTGTGATTGATGGTCATGTACCCTTGTATAATTATTTCAACAAATTCATGGGCAAGCATGTAGGCCAGCAATCAGCAGTTGTGTGTTTCAGCGATTAGCATTCATGTCTTGGGGTCTCAGTTGTGGACTGCTGAAGCTGGGGTCGCATGCTGCATGTTTCAGCAATTAACACTGATGTTTTGGGGTTTCACTTGTGGTTTGCTGAAGGGGGATAAAGTCCGCAAGAAGGATGACTGGTCAACATGGCTGCTGCCAGCAGGGCACTTCATTCCACCCCCACCGTTTCCATCCAAGGGGTCCCCTGAGAAGGAAGAACCTGCGAAGGACGAGGCCGGGGCAGATGTGAGCAAAGGGACTTCCGGCACAGATGTTAAGTCTGGTGGTGGCGAAGGAAGAGAAAATTGTGTAGGGGAGGAAGGAGACAGAGAAGTTTCCCAGAAAGAGGATCCACCTTCAGCAGCAGAGCTGTCACCACCGATTGCACCAGGAGAAGACAACAGCAAGGTTGTAGGCGAGGAAGCTTCAGTGACAGGATCTGTACCTTCCCTAAAGAAGGTTGAGGTAGTAAGCATGACTAGCGGCGCTCATGAGGTTTCAGTGGCTCCCAGTAGGCAGATAGACGAATCACAAACTTGTGTGGAGAGGGGGGTTGAGAGATCTGAAAAAGCAAAAGGGGATAATGATGAAAGGCTTGGCGAAAGTGTGATGCCTTCTAATCGTGCTGCTGTGTCAACGGCTAGTGATCTCGTGGAGGATGCAGATGCTGTTTCTAGTCGAATAGATGACAAGGATACTCAGCAAGAAAGGAATATGAAGTTGTTGACTGCAGGGGAGGAGTCGCTGGTGAGATCGAGTGAAAGTGTGTTGCATCTTGAAGCGGGCGCAGAGCGGGATGCAGAGAGAACAAGTGACTCTGGCATTGAAAGCGTGTCACGTGTTGCCGATAGTGGGGATTCCTCTGTCATGAGAATTGGTGAGGAAAATAGAGGGGACAGTACAGAGGATAAACTTTCAGGAGACAGTGCGCCTCTCGAGAAAGGTATTGCTGACCAAGATGCTGCTGAAAGAAGGCAAGAAAAAGTCAATACTGTAACTGTTCTGACGAAGGGCATGGAGCGTGAGGGAGGGTCAATACTCCGTCAAGCGTTGCCAAGCCGAGGGGTGGGATTGGGTATTGTTGTTGAAGGGTTTGATACTGGCAAATGGGCGGGTAATTCGAAGTCAACAGGTGAAGGTGATGGTGAGTTGGATGTGAGTTCCCCTCGGTTGGATGCTGATGTTGAGAGTGGGGTGGTGGCAGATGATGAAGGAGAGTGGGTCACCCCTTCAACAAGGAACCCACGAAAGAAGACTCCTGGGAGTGGAGGAAAAAGACCGCCAACAGGGGTCAGTGGAGGAAGAGGTGGAGGAGGTGGTGGCCTGGCTGCTCTATTTGCAAAGAAGGCTTCAAGTGAGGTGGATGATGAGGAGCAATTCAAGCTGGATGAGGAAATGGAATGGGAGCTGCCGGGAACTAAAGGGGCTATGAAGGAGAAGGAGACTGCTGTGCCAAAAGGGTAGGCAGCAGCGCTGGAGAAAATGCCCTCGCAACCGCTCTCTTGCTGTGAGTGCTCGCCCATTGCTGGCACTGCAGCATAGGGGGGGGGAGTTTTTGAACGAATGTCATCCATCCACTGAGGGATTCTGGTGTTGATAGGAATGAACACGAGACTGAATATGATAAGTTCTGGGATGTTCTGGGAATGTGGGGGCTCTTCAGAAATGAGTGTGGAGGTGGTGGTATGGGAATGGTGGTAGCTATGGGTGGAGCGCCTGATTTTGAACCCTCTCATGGACGTGCTTGTATATACCGGCTCGCCAGTGTAGTTAGACGGCTTTCTTTTGCTTGAGTAGGAGATGAAGAGTTCTCTCTCTAAGGATTTAAAGTTTGGACTGCACTGATATTTTATTTGGGAAATTTGAATCGTCTGATTCTGTCGAAGTTTGTACGGTTTTGAATCTTTGACTATGAAAATTTTGTACTCAAATTTGCTGTTGGATAAGTTGTCCAAATGGGGCAGGCAATAGATTGTTGCTGGGCAATTAGCTATCATGCGTAAGAAAGAAAATAATGCTTGCCATGCCATCTTGGCTTGCGTAGCTATTCTGCGCTTCTGCAGATGACTGAAATTCGAAACAGAGTTATCCCCCAGGCATTGGTTCACTTGCATGTCTTTGTTCTATGGAATGTCGGTTATGGTGTCAAAATGTGTGTGCAACTGATAAAAAATCATTGTTCCTGGCACTCTTCTTGGTCAGTTATGGCTGAATATTTTTTGTGGATCATTACGTTGCTTACAATGGTGGCAAGTCATGGAACGGACCTTTTCTTCTCCGGGCTGTAGTATAACATAAAGTCTCTGCATAAGAGATAGAGAGGGGGGGGGAGGGGGAGAGAGAGAGAGAGAGAGAGAGAGAGAGAGAGAGAGAGAGAGAGAGAGAGAGAGAGAGAGAGAGAGAGAGAGAGAGNAGAGAGAGAGAGAGAGAGAGAGAGAGAGAGAGAGAGAGAGGCAAGGTTGTTGTTCCCTGCTAGAGAGAGAGAGAGGGAGGCAAGGTTGTTGTTCCCTGCTAGAGAGAGAGAGAGAGAGGGAGGCGAGGTTGTTGTTCCTTGCTCTCTGTTTTTCTTTCTGCTAATCTTTAGTGCTCTTGCACATCTGGTGGCTTGTGAAGTGGGACTTTGAATGACGGGTCCAGTTGACATCGAAATTTTAGTTTCTGTAGACCCCTGTCACCTGGGGTGTGCAGAAGGGAAACTGTGTGCCTATCTGAATTTGTGTTTGACTCACAGTTTCAACAGCTGCTCCCGTTTTGGGGTGCTTGATGACGTTTTACGTGGCTCGACGTTCATTCCACCGAATTGTCTCTTGAAAACTCAGATGAAGCATTCTCTTCATGTTTTATTGTCGTTACTGTACAGTACGGCTGGTTGCAGATTGGTTCCTCACCTGTTCAAATGCAGGGAAAAAACTTTGTAGGGCCTGCCTGTGCACAGGTGTTGTTTAGCTGTGTTGTCCACATCTGTGATGTGCAAAAAACTCCCTTGCATGTGGTGTGGAGCAAATGTGGGAAATGTTGCTGAGGAAAAGCTGGTCAGGTGCTGGGAGTGCCAGTTTTGTAGAAAGTCGAACTCCAAGCGTGGACTCGTTGGTGCTTAGAGTTTTTGTGTTGTTTAGTATTTAATGATGTAGCTGGGTTGTCTTGTGAAAGATCATGTGCATTATGATATTTAATGTATGCAGGCTTCTGTGATGTGCTGTTGGACACATCTCTGCAGGGTGGAATGTTTTTGCGTGGATCAATCGTGCTGGGGGTCATCCTTGCCTAAATATTGTTTATGCCGCTGGCATCCTTAAACCGCTAGTACACGGCCGCAAGCAAAACTCGGAGGCGCCCTGCGGCCAGGGGTGCCGTTGGGAAAAAAAATCCGTGCCTTCCAAAGTGGTGCGGGTTTCATGCTGACACCCGCGGGCCAATGTGTGGTGTAGTGGTGTTCACGGATTTCTTTTTTCTGCCATCATTCTTGCGTTGTTTGTCGACATTGTGATATTCTGGCAGAAGACTGTAAAAAGCTGCTTCACCCGTTTTCCCAAATTTCATGATCTTAGCTATTCCCTCAACTGAGATGGGATTTGGCGTTCTGTGAGTGCCAAAGCAATCGTTCCATTTCACAGATGACCGCTGGCTAATTGGTTGCGGGGTGGCAACTGCATCGGGACGGGTTAAACCCAAAGTTGCATACCTGTTGGTTGGTGTCTGTTGTGACCGCTGACTCACGATATGTGCATCTTTTGAGATGAGAGTGGCTGAGAAAACACAACAGGGAAAGGGGACTAAGACGTCTGGGTTTCCCTGCTGTGGTGTCATGACTTATAAGCAGAAAGCAGGCTGATGATGATGAGGACGATTCAGAGGTGGACGATGGCGCCGTGCAGAGGCTTATTGTTGTAACACAGGTACAATTATGCACCCATAAATGAACATGCTATTTGATGTCGAGACAGAGGGCTATTGACTGGGACTACTTGGAAAGTAAGTCACTGGTGTTGGGATGGATGCCATCACAATGATTTAGTTGTGTGACTTAAAAGTCGTAGACCATGGTGGCCTGAGATTACAAATGTCAGGCTAGTCTTTTGTTTTACCTGATGGCTACCCTGCTTCCCTACACTGTAGCAACTGACGCCTATAACCTTTGCCCTGATACACAGGATTGGCTATGGAGACCGTGTGGTTTGTCATATCCAGTCTGATGTCTATAAATTTTCCTCTATTTGCAATCTGTACTTGGCTGCCTGTTATGGGTTCGCCTCCAGTAATGAAATGTGAGAATTAAGGTGTTGGAGAGACAGGGGGAGCAGCTAGCCAGATGATGTGCATGTCTGCGTCGTGAGAAATTGAGATGATAGAATTAGGCAGGTAATGAGATCTTATTGCACACGAACACTCTTTATCTGCTCATGTTGTTGTCAAATGTGTTGCCAACTTGCCACGTGACAAGCTGCTCATCTTTCCTCCTCTTTCTTTTCACGGTTCTGTTCTCCGTCATTCTTCTTCATTGTCTTGCTGCAAATGTGATTCCGCTTGCCCCATGTCTCCTTGTCCATGACTGGCTACAAGGTGGTTCAGCCTTCTTTTTCCTACTTTTTTTTGCAGTATAGATGTTGAGTGTGCTGTGAGGCGGTGCAACATCCCACCATCCGGACACCTTTCTTTCATTTGTGAATTCTCCTTCTCAAGTCTGGCTGTCAAATACACCCACACACGAGTTAGACTGGACGTTACTCCACTCAACGTCCTCCTGCTCCTTGTGTTGTTGGTGAATGAATTGTGGTGCCACCATATTAATTTGTGAGGACGGTAGGCCTAACATAACAGTACTGTGTAACAGCTGTCTGAAAAATCTGCACCATCACACCACCATGGTGCCGCGAACTTGTGACACTGACAGTTTGTGTGTTGGGTTCTTCCGGGAAGCCCTGTCAGGCTTCCGCCCATTAATATGACATAAGAAATTGGGGTCAGTTGCTTGGCTTGATGACCTCGGAGGTGCAATCAGTCCCAAAAAAACGCAAGGTGAGTTGAGCACAACATCAATCGTGTGTGTTATTCCGCTCTTCGCTATTTTCAGTCTGCAGTTAGTTTGCACTTGATAGGGGCTCACAGAGGTCAATCATCGGACTTGCTAAGTGATTGCTTGCATTTAAAAGACACAGAACAGACGAGTTGGAGCCTAACCAGCAACATCTTCATGGACTGCGATGTAGCCCCAATCTAGTTTAACGCTAGCCACTAGAGAAAAAAGGTTTTAGTTTAGAACCCCTTGTTGCACGAAATGTTGTGAGAGTCGTGGGCCTTCTACCAGGTGGCAGGATGAAAAATCTAGCATCTCAAACACGGAAACAGAGTTGTCATGTGTGGGCATAGCTTATTGCAGCGAAGAAGGAAAAACACATTGCTGAGAACTAGATGCCTAGAGAGCTGCGGAACAGAAATTGGGCACTCGGGCGGTGGATCGTGGGCACTCGGGCGGTGGATTCGTGCAGCAACTGGTTCCCGTTGAAGAACAGTCTGGCGCTGCCACTTTGTGTGATAGTTGAAAGTAAAGCCTTGCAATTAAGGGATTTGTGCGTCAGATGCCAGGGTTTGCCATCCGTTCCTGCTGTGAATCCTTGTCGCAGTGCTGACACTATGCTGCTGCAGTCTCCATCTTCATTTCCGATCACCGTTGCTTTAGATGTTTCCTGTCATCTGTTAGGATGGCTCGCTTTGGGACGCATCGCTCAGCCATTCCCCTTAAATTCCACTGACTGGGTGCCTTAGTCATAGTGGGAAAGCATGAAGGATGCGGTATTGTCTCGACGGACAGTGCCCTGGTGCTTTGCGCTGACTGCCTGCAGCGTGTCCGGCATCTCTCTCTCACATACCAGGCAATCACAGCATTGTACACTTATCTCTCTAGGACAGCGTGCGACTGTTTCCACATATCCGCACAGTCTGGATGGGAGCAAGAAAGCAAGAGAGAATTGGCGGAAGGGCACACATATGACGTACAGGTGTAGACTTGTAGGCTCACGCATAGACAGTTGGGGTACAGAACAGTTACAGTGCCAGCAGTCATTGTCATCCTCGATTGATTTAAAGGTGTTTAGAAGTATGTGGCAACTTGCACACAGAGTCACAGACACTCCAGCGGATGCAGTCCTTGGGCTATGCTCATGTTCGACTGATTCTGTTTCGTGACTTTGTCACTTTGGTACCCCATCTTCTTCCCTTTTTTACTGATCCCACTCTCTTTAATCTCTCGACTGTCGACCTGCAGGTGTGAATGTGCTGTTCAGACGGCTGTGTGGGAACCTCCCGCCCATTAAACAAGACATACATGGGGAAACCTGGCAGGTACCGACATAACTTTATTCTTCTGGTTCAGATCCCAAACTCTATTACTCTTAGTAAATGAACTCTTTTGGTTTTGTTCTTGACGGCGGAAAGTGTGACCGTCGGAGTAAGGTCAGGCAGCATTAGTCAAGATCGTACCAATTGATATCTTGCCTTCTTCGCACGACTCTCCCTCCAGGCCGCAGGTTGTTACGGCTGTCGTGTCATGACCAGCATCTCCTCACAGCTCTCAAAGTGCTACAATACAGACAAAATTTAAGTCCTAGAGCTTCTCTTCAGTCCTGTTTATGCATGGTGTCTAGCAGGGAGCAAAATACAAGGCCGAACTATGGAGCTCCAGCGTTCTTTAGGAGGGCTTTGAGGGGGATGTTCACAGGAACAGGACGCAATAAGCTTAGTGTGTTGAGCAGGCAATGTATGAAGGCGTTTACGTCAGGTCTTGTACAGGGTAGCCCAGGAAGGTAATCTCAATCAATGTCCTAAATGTCTCGGAAGCAGGGCTGTGTCGGCAACCGGCCGGTTGGACTGGACCGGTCCCAACCGGGCCAGCTGGACCCCGGGGGGGTTCAGGGGTTGGGGGTCGGGGGTCGGGGGTCGGTGGTTAGGGGGGTTGTGGTGGTGTGGTTTCAGCAAACACGGGCTTCGGCAACAACGTATCTGGCTTTCTTCAAACATTGACAGACACCTACGTGGGAACGCTTTCGCGAATTGTTCTCTCTCTCTCTCTCTCTCTCTCTCTCTACCACGCGCCTGCTCTCTCCCTCTCTCTCTCTCTCTCTCTCTCTCTCTTTCTCTCTCTCTACCGTGCGCCTATCTCTCTCTCTCTCCCCCTCTCCCTCTCTCTCTCTCGCCTGCTCTCTCCCTCTCTCTCTCTCTCTCTCTCTTTCTCTCTCTCTCTACCGTGCGCCTCTCTCTCTCTCTCACCTGCTCTCTCCCTCTCTCTCTCTCTCTCTCTACCGTGCACCTACTCTCTCTCTCTCTGTCTCTCTCTCTCTGCCGCGCCCACGAAACACCGCGCGCCTACTCTGTGTGTGTGTGTGTGTGTGTGTGTGTGTGTACCGAGCGCCTTCTCGTGCGCCTACACTTCCATACACATAAGGAGAAGAAGAAGAAGAGGAAGAAGAAGAAGAAGATAACGTACCTGTGGCGTGCTGGCGGGCGGGGAGCCTGGCTTCACTGCACGACGATGACGATGATGACGGCGACGGGCGACGACAGCGGGGGTGTTGGATTCTCGACGGGACGGCTGGTGAGTCGGGTGGAGGCGGGAAGTCGAAGGCGGGAGGCCTCCGCTAAGTTTCGAAAAGGGAGGCCTCATCTGGGTCGCCGACCTTTCGAGATCAGCGGTCCAGAGAGGCAGCCCTTTTCCGAACTTGGAGACTGCCATACCGGACCGGTTGTGATTTTTTTTAGGGCCTTCAGGCCCCCACAACCCGCGTGGGGGCCTCCTGGCCCCAAAAAAAATTGATTCGGCCATTTTTGGTGATGCGCTGTAACTGACCTGGGGGCAACCGGCCCGGTGGACCAGCCGGTCCCACCGGCCCGGTTCCGGTTGGGGGTGGACCCCCCGGTGGGACCGGGTTTACAGCCCTGCTAGGAAGATACTTTTAGGTTGGACCTGTAAGGTTGTGTAACTCTGTCTGTACATGTTTGCAAAGTTAGTGGTACGGTCAGAATTTACAGCCCTGCTCGGAAGATACTTTTAGGTTGGACCTGTGAGGTTGTGTAACTATGTCTGTACATGTTTGCAAAGTTAGTGGTACAGTCAGAATCCTTGGTGCAGTATCCACTTTCGCTGTTGCAGCTGTTGAAACCACCAGCACTGTCCGCAGGTAATTTTCTGTGCCTCGGCCGTGCTCCTGTGCTCGGGCCTTGTCTGGTGGGATGTACTGGCCTGCCTTTTTGCATGAAAAACATCCAGGCAAAACTAGCCGTGCACTCGATCATTTGGCCTGGATGAATTTGGCGTAAGACGATAGGCAGGTACCTCTACCTCCCGCCAGACGCGGCGCAGGCGTGGCCGCGTTGCTGAAAAATGGCTGGGGGTGGCAGTATGATGAGTTCAGCAAGACCCAGACAACCTGTGGACAATTGAGTTCATTGACAGTTTGGGTGACCCTTGGTCCGGATTTGTGACATGTGTGGAGGTCCATGCCAGCCAATTAGCAATCTCTGAGGTTTGGAAACATCAGAGCTGTTGCTATCCCTGGAAATGCAAGTTCAGGTAGTGGAAGGGATTCTTTGAGTGCTTAGAGCTCTCTCCTTTACTTATTGTCCCATGTATGGTTAGGTTCAGTCAAGAAAGCCATAGTGCAAGTATCCTCTTAGCCATCTTGAATTGCCTCGTGGAACACAGGAAACAAGACATGCTCTCCTGAACTCTCTAAATTTTGGGGTGTTGGGTCACATGTTACCACCCAACGTATTTGGTTTACAAAGCTGCCGTCGGAACGCCAAAAACTCAGCTCCGTCTCCCCAGTCCCAAAAGCTCTCCGCCGTCCGCCATGTGAATGTACTTTTAGTCAAGCCGGTGGAAGACACAGCTAACATTCTTAGAGCTCGAGTGGTTATTCCCTGTCTATCAGTTTCTTATTCCGCTGATTCGTTATGTCCATTCTGCACTGCACGTAATGCCCGTTTGTCTTTATGCGTCTTCCCCCCGCCCTTCAATTTATCTGTAATCTCGACCTAGCTGGCTAAGACTGTGACTGTCAATGTCCAATATGGCCTTCCTGCTCAGTGAAGGTACCGGTGTGCCTGTGATATTGCAAGGTGTTGTGGTCAAGGTGCAATGTTCAGGTCTTGCAGCTCATATCTGAATAATGCCACAGCAGGTCAGCGAAAGGTATGCCTTTCTCGATCTTACTTTCGAGCAGTCCTCTTGCATCATATTAGGATGGTGAATTTTCTAGGCTCATGAAAACACCTGTACCTAATTTTGCCTGCACCTGGAGACTAGTCATGTTGTGCTTGTTTTGAGGAGTTGTTTTTTAAATAATTTTTGGCTCCTAAGGTGCATTCCTTTGGCTTCAATAGAATATGGCACCTGCTGTGTTGTAAAGTGGAAAACTCGGATGAGCTGAGCAGTGACAGATTTAGTTGCGCGGAAAATGGCAAAGCAAACGTAAAAGTGCGATGCGGAGGAGACTGTATGAAACCAACAAGGGGAAAAAGGTGTTCAGAAAATCAAAATGTTAAGACAAAGCACAAGGTAGAACGTGTCGGGAGGGTGGATCCAAACCACTGATGACTGGCGACCAAGAGGTAGATGTTGATTGGCAGATGTGAGCCTGTGATGGTTGGCCATCACCTGACCAGTGACTGGACAAGAGGTACCTATTGGGATGCAGCACAGTTGGCCTTCGCAATTCAACAGCCCTAGACATTGAGGGAGCATGAAGGCCGGGGGGGGAGAATGACAGGGGAGAAGAGGAGGCGTGGGGTGGAGAGAGAGAGAGAGAGAGAGAGAGAGAGAGAGAGAGAGAGAGAGAGAGAGAGAGAGAGAGAGAGAGAGAGAGAGAGAGAGAGCTGACCAGTTTCATTTGTTTACATTGGCAGAGTCGTAAAGCCGCCAAGTCTGATAGGAAGGGCCCAGATGGGAGAGACCATGGCAGGAAAGCAGTTTCAGATGAGCTTGCATCTGTCATCAATGATGGCCTGTATTTCTATGAGCAGGTGAGCGCGCAAGTGGGTATCTTGATGATGTTTACTGGCTCTATTTTGCGTTGCATGGATGTTTCTTCTTCTATACTTTTCCGACCCCCTTGGCCAGTTGACTGTAAAAGGGTGTAACCATTATGCTTGCTGTGTGCTCGAACAACAGAAAAAACTTTGAAAAAGCCAGGAATAGAATACACACCTGGCTTCTCCACCACTCTCAGCCTCAGTCGTGTTCAACTTTGTCTTCTTCTGCTGCCACGTTCTGCTCCCCTCATCTTCCCCTTCTCCCAAAGTGTTCAGACGTCCTCTTTTAGTGCCCATCCTGATCTCCAATTTATTGAAGTCTATCTTCCTCTCTTGATCTCCTCGCCATTTCTGTTCATCGCATAGGCTTTGAAGTCCTAGGAAAATAGCACATTAATGTGTTCTGGTGAAGAAAGCTTACATGAATGTGAATATTCTGATAGCTGCAAAAATCGCACTGAACGCCAGATAGTTGAATGCTGTCCAGAAAGCTGAAACGCGCTGATGTCACACTGTAGGAGAACCAAAACAGCGAACTCAGTTGTCAATGAAAACATACTCTTGCCACCACCAACAATATAAACTCTTCCTTCTGATCGTGCTCAGTGCCCAGACAACGAGCCTAAAGCTACTACACTATCCTATTCAAATAACAAAGCAACCAGTTGACGTCAGCAGCAGCAACCTAAGTACATGCAAATGTCGCTCGACCTCCACGACGACCAGGCACATGCTCTCTATTCTCACCCTCGTCTCTCCCACTTCTCTTCACCTTCACGATGTCCGCAGCCTGGCTGCCTGGACTGGCCGGCACAAGTGCCCAACTTTGGGCCAAAGCCTCTGCGCCCAAGCCCGTTCAGACAGTGGCCTGGGCCCGCAGCAGTTAGGTGCGCCCAACCACCCACGCCCAGTGAGGTGTTCCCTGCTCCCTGATTGGCCGAGAGGCCAGCTTCCAAGACTTGAGTAGAAGAGCCTAGATGGCTCCCGAAAGATTCTGATGCTCGCGAAGAGGGCCCATGTAACCAACTGGTGCGAGGCAACTGTCTGGCATCTGCGAGGGATGTCAAATTTTGCAATGTTCAGGCCTCTTTGGAGATGCAGGGCCCCCATCAGTGAGGGCGGGCATGGTGCTTGCAGCGAGGGCCCAATACGGCCATGCCAAGGGCTCGTATGCTTGCACTCCCTCCTCCATTACCTTGATGGTTCTCTGAGAAGTCATTTAATCAGCAGGCTTTCCTTTCAGACTTCTGTCATATCCGGAGACAACCTTGCGGAGAAGTCTTCATCAGTTCTCTTGTGAACCACCGATCTGCCTTCGAATCGGTGTGATGTCTGAACCACGCTCGGTACAGCATCTGTGGTTTGAGGTCGTCTCCTGCGTGGAGGCTTTGGTACAGGCATCACCTTGTGATCGATCATGTCGTCAATGTCAACGTGTCCATTGATGGTTGAGGGCAGCATAGATCTCCTTTGACGGAAACCTGTCGGTCTCAGCGAAAGGAGCCAGTTTGCGTAGATGACCAGGGATGCGGATAACACATGACGAACCATCTGGTTCACCCCCAACTATGTCCAGAACCTCCCACTGTCCAAAGTACTGTGGCATGAGCCTCCTAGAAATACCCAGTCCCTGTCCCAGCGCAGACGACTTGACCCACACTCTTTCACCTACCTGAAATGCAGATGGCCGTCAGTTCCTGTTCTCAGATGCTACCGTAGCCTCTTGAGCTTTTCCAATCTGTTCTACAGCCTGCTTTAGCATCTTGTCATACTTGACAGCAAATCCAATGCTGCCAGGTGGTGCTGTGGCCTGGTTCTCAGGCAACAGAAGGTCAAGAGCAGACCTGAGCTTACAACTGAGGTGCAGCTGGTTGGGAGTCGTGCTGGTGGTGCTGTGCACAGCGTTATTATACAGGCTTGCAATGACAGGTAACTTCTTATTCCAGATCTCGACTCGCCTTGATATATTGCCGGAGCAAATGCTGCATAACCCTGTTTATCTGCTCTGCCTGGCCATTGGACTCAGGGTGATTCTCATGATGTCATCTGCAGTTCGGGTTCTCATTGCCACAGTTGGCTAGTGAATCTGACATCCCTATCACTGGCAATAGACTTAGGAAGACCGAAGTCACGCACTCAATCCCTACACTTATAGAAATCTCTAACGTGAGAACTGGCCGATCCAGGCCGCCCGTGGTCCTACTGGCCTGACGGTCCGGATTTCCACGCGATCTTAGAGTCGTAAGATCGCGGGAGGATCCGAGCCATTGGCCGGGTAGGACCGCAGATGGCCTGGATCGTCACGGCCGTTGGAAAGAGGCCTTCGTGAAAGAACCGCCCGGTACCTGTTGGGCATTGGCCTGTTGAAGGGCGGCACCCTCGCCGTACTCAAGTCTAATGGCCCGCCTCTACTGCACCTAGCGAAGCCGACAAACGACTCTAGGCGGGCAACCTCCTGATGAGTCGGTGGAAGTCCAACAAAACAGTCTGGCTCAGTCATGCTTTTTCCGTGGAGTTGTGCATAGCAAACATGACAACCCACGCACGCTCGTATGCAAAAACGAACGACTGCACATGAGAACACACACGCGCGCACAAACAGTGAGAGAGAGAGAGAGAGAGAGAGGGGGAGAGAGAGAGAGGGAGGCACAGAGAGAGAGGGGGAGAGAGAGAGGGGAGGGGGGAGGCGGAGGAGGGTGCTGTGAAAGTGTGCCACGTGGCCCGGCCTTTTTTCCACATTCTGTTTTTCCCCTTTTTTTGTGCATGTACGTGTGTGTGTGTGTG